TCTGGAGAAGAAGGCTCGATGGTTTTGAGAGTCCGGTAGAGGGGAAATGGCCCCTTTCAGAAGCAAGGTCTCAACTTCTGTCAGAATTGCTGAGGATGGTTCGGTATCGACAATATGCCCCGTTGGTGGGAGCTCTTCGAACTCCAATGCATAGCCTTTGTCGACAATCTTTAAAACCCATGCATCTGAGGTGATATTTTCCCATGCAGGGAGAAAGTTCGTCAGGCGATCCCCAAACGGTGTCAAGCCGGATGGAAGGATGAGGGCAGGTACCATTGGGTTGTTAGGTGTATTGTGTCCAATTTGGTGTCAATTTGGGTTTTGAATTCTGTTAATCCCACAAACGAACATTACATTTTTATTTATATAGATACTAGCTGTCCCCTGGCATGCGTTGCTGTGGCTCAGTCTGGTGATCTGGAATATAAAGTAATGAGGAAGTGTTGGTTTCTAATACATGCAATTTCTTTATGCTTGTGGGTAAACAGTATTTCTTGTTGTTTCTTTGTCAGTGTTGATGTAGACATTTCCTGCTTTGCCTACTCTGGAACATGCAACATATAATTGTCCTTCTTTAGGGGTCCCTTTCAAATCTATGATACTATAACTGTCATATACGTATATATATAAGTGTGTGTGTGAATCATATCTATCTATCTATACCTATAGCTGGATGGCTCTTTGTCAGGAGGGCTTTGGTTGTGTTTTCTTGCCCTGGTGAAGGGAGTTGGATTGGATCGCCTTAAGGCACCATTTCTCAACCTGGGGGTCGGGACCCCTGCAGAGGTCATAAAGGGGTGTTAGAGGGGTTGCCAAAGAACATCTGAAAATACAGATTTATTTTGTTGATCATGGGGGTTCTGTGTGGAAAGTTTGGCCCAATTCTAACGTTGGTGGGATTTAGATTGCTCTTTGATTGTAGGTGAACTATAAATTCCAGCAACTACAACTCCCAAATATCAAGTTCTATTCCCCCCAAACTCCATCTGTGTTCGTATTTGGGCATGTAGAGTATTTGTGGCAAGTTTGGTCCAGATCTATCATTGTTTGAGTCCACAGTGATCTCTGGATGTAGGTGAACTACAACTCCCAAACTCAAGGTCAGTGCCCACCAAACCCTTCCAGTATTTTCTGTTGGTCATGGGAGAACTGTGTGCAAAGTTTGGTTCAATTTCATCATTGGTGGAGTTCAGAATGCTCTTTGATTGTGAGTGTACTATAAATCCCAGCAACTACAACTCCCAAATTACAAAATCAATTTTTTGAGTGAAGGACATACATTGAGTTGTTAGGTGTATTGTGTCCAAATTTGATGTCAATTCGTCTATTGGTTTTTGAGTTATGTTCATCCCACAAACGAACATTAAATTTTTATTTATATAGATAACATGATTGATTGAAGTACAGCAGCTCACGCAAGCTCAGATATAGATGGCTAGACATGAAAAATATAGCACTGAAATGTTTTCTGGAAAAAATTCTGCAGAAATTCAGGCCCAAAATATGCAGTCATAGGACTGTTGCCTTAACTATAGAAAATTATATGATTGTTCAGGCTTTTTATTTCTTTTGAAATTAATTTTATAAACACTTTCTTTCTTTCTGTTGGTCTACAGAGTAAAAAGAACCATATTCCATACCGGGACAGCAAACTCACGCGTCTTCTAAAGGATTCTATTGGAGGAAACTGTCGAACCATCATGATTGCTGCAATTAGCCCTTCTGCTCTTTCCTATGAAGACACATACAACACTCTCAAATATGCCAACCGGGCTAAAGAAATCAAACTCTTAGTGGGTACCATAGATAGATTTCTGAATTTGATGTAACATTGACTGACTAAGCATTATAATTCTTGTTGTTGTCTGTGTGTATTCAATAGATTTGGTGTCCATGGTACTTTGCTCTTTGCTGGAATAATGTGGACATCATGCTTTTCAAAAGCTCCAATGGAAGCAAAATTGCATTTATACTTTGAAGGCTTTTTTCATAGTAGTGCTACAGACTTGTTTTTAGAAATAAAAGAGCAATAATTCCAGGTTATACATGCCATAGCAATTTCTGCAATCACAGGCTGCACAGTCCTTCATTGTTTATATAATAATAATAATAATAATAATAATAATAATAATAATAATAATAATAAACTTTATTTATACCCTGCCACCATGGGGACTCGGAGCGGCTTACATGGGGCCAAGCCCGAACAAGAATTACAATATAACAATACAAATTGCAATAAAATAAACAACATAACATTAAAATAAAACAATATACACAGAACATAGGAAGCTAAACATAATAACAAAATGACAATAATAATAATAATAATAATAATAATAATAATAACAACAACAACAACAACAACAACAACAACAACAACAACAACAACAACACTGGGTGCAGTGCCTAAAGACCTTGGCCTGCACTTAAACACAATCAGCGCTGACAAGATTGTATATATATTGATATAATAATAATAATAATAATAATAATAATAATAATAATAATAATAAGTATTGGAGCACAAGACTCCTGACCTCACGATCGTGTTAAAAAACAAAGTATGGATCATTGATGTTGCAGTCCCAGGTGACAGCAGGGTTGATGAGAAACAACTGGAAATACTGACAAGATATGAGGATTTAAAGATCGAACTGCAAAGACTGGCACAAGCCAGTCAAGGTGGTCCCAGTGGTGATTGGCACACTGGGTGCAGTGCCTAAAGACCTTGGCCTGCACTTAAACACAATCAGCGCTGACAAAATTACCATCTGTCAGCTGCAGAAGGCCACATTATTGGGATCTACACGCATTATTCACCAATACATCACACAGTCCTAGATACTTGGGAAGTGTCCAATGTGTGATCCAATACAACAGCCAGCAGAGTGATATTGTCTGCTGTGGACTCATCTTGTGGTGTTTCAAATAATAATAATAATAATAATATAACACCATATATATATATATATATATATATGAGAGTTTATTCGATGCTTAGACCATAGGTCTTTCACAAGGCAAGGCAAATAAATAAATACATGAACACCAGATTATTAAATACAATATAAAAACTTTATATTATATTCTGCTCTATCTCTCTGAGGGGACTCAGAGTATTAACAATGAAATACAATGACACACAAATACACAGGCAAAGGCTTCTCCTTTCATTTCTGGCTTCTGGAGGTGGTGCTCTTCTCCATTTCCAAGTCGAGGAACTTGTGTTGTCCATAGACACCTCCTGCTAATGTGGCTGGCATGACTGCATGGAGTGCCTGTTTGCCTTCCCACAGAGGCTGTACTTATTGATCTACTCACATTTGCATGTTTTCGAACGGCTATGTTGGCAGGAGCTGGGGCTAAAGGTGGAAGCTCACCCTGTCCCGCAGATTTGAACTGCCAGCCTTCAGGTCAGCAAGTTCAGCAGCTCAACGGTTTAACCCAGGGGTCCTCAAGCTTTTTAAACAGAGGGCCAGGTCACAGTCCCTCAAACTGTTGGAGGGCCGGATTATAATTTGGAAAAAAAACATGACTGAATTTCTATGCACACTGCACATATCTTATTTGTAGTGCAAAAAACACTTAAAACAATACAATAATTAAAATGAAGAACAATTTTAACAAATACAAACTTATTAGTATTTCAGTAGGAAGTGTGGGCCTGCTTTTGGCTGATGAGATAGGATTGTTGTTGTTGTGTGCTTTCAAGTCGTTTCAGACTTAGGTTGACCCTGAGTGAGGGCCGGGTAAATGACCTTGGAGGGCCGCATCCGGCCCCCGGGCCATAGTTTGAGGACCCCTGGTCTAACCCGTTGCAGCTGCAGCACCATTGATTCAATCTCTGTGAACACAGAATACACATCATCTGTACATCTGGCTTGGTAAATACTAGGAATGAATGCTGGAAGATTCTCATGAGAAAAGCAGAACTAGATCAGACTATCCCAGTATACATTTCCAATGCTTGCCTAGTCAGTTATGTGGACAATGCATTCTGTGTTCAGATAAATTGAACACAGGCTAAAGAATTCTATCTCTTTCTAACCTGTTTCTGTTTTCAAAAATAGCACATTTCTAGCAATATTGGCTCGGGAAGGGGGTTCTAAACTGTCTTCTCCTCAGACCAAAGAATGTACTACTTACAAGTAACACAGCTTGTAAATTCAGTGGGAGTTTGTAGTTTGTTGAACAAATGGCCCTGCCTTTCAAGAAGGTTCAATTTTGACTTCCTTCCACTTCACTGGAATTTGCTAGATCCTCAACTCTTTAATTTAGACAAGGAAGAGGCAAGTAGTGAACACATATTGCAATGGTTACGTTTGCGGATGACAACTCTCGGAATCCCTCAGCTACCATGATCAGCCTGCGGACAATAATCCAACCTCTGGTAGATTGGAAAACAAGTTGCAGTCCATTTTTCAGAATCATTAACTTCACCACACCTGTATGTATCTTCAAGGAACAGTAGGTTGGAATCTCTGTGTATAAAAAAATAGAGTAACTTGTTTAAGCGTTGCAGTATTCGGCATCACTCATGACCCCGTGCTTTGTCCTGTTCTGCAGATGAAAAGAAATGTAGTGAGCTTGGACTACTCTCTCAGCCAATATGCTGTCGTCTGTGAGCAGCTCAGAGCGGAGGTAAGGAATTCTGGTAACCTGGCTTTTAAAGGAGGTTTTTCTCATGTGCTGAAGTTAGAATACTGCCTTAGGTCCGAGCCAGACCATTGCAGGTGTTGCCATACCATGGAGAATTGCTCCTCACCCATGGATTGCCTTTTCTTCCATTTTAAATGTAAATGCACACATTTAAATGCACCCTTTTGGCATAGTGATGCAAGGACACAATGCTTTATTTATTTATTTATTTGAAACATTTATATTCCGCCCTTCTCACCCCGAAGGGGGCTCAGGGCGGAGCACAGCATATACAGGGCAAACATTCAATGTCGGGACACAAATTCACATATAATACATAAACACTAAAAAACATTTATCAAAATATTAAAATACACCATTCAAAACCATCCCAGTCATCCGCATCAAATCTAATATTTTGACCAAGTCATCTTTCCTATTGCCGCTTTATTGCCCTGCTCCGAAAGCTTAGTCCTACAGCCAAGTTTTTACCATCCTTCTAAAGGACAGGAGAGAAGGGGCCAACCTGATCTCACCAGGAAGGGAGTTCCATAGCCGGGGAGCAATCACCGAGAAGGCCCTGTCCTTTGTCCCCACCAATCGTGCCTGTGACAATGGCGGGACGGAAAGCAGGGCCTTTCTGTTGGTCAGGGGGGTTCTGTGTGGGAAGTTTGCCCCAATTCTGTCGTTCGTGGGGTTCTTTGATTGTAGGTGGACTATGAATCCCAGGGACTACAACTCCCAAATGTCAAGGTCTATTTCCCCCAAACTCCATCTGTGTTCATATTTGGGCATATTGAGTGCTTGTGCCAAGTTTGGTCCACAGCCATCATTGTTTGAGTCCACAGTGCTCTCTGGATGTAGGTGAACTACAACTCCCAAACTCAAGGTCAATCCCCACCAATCCCTTCCAGTATTTTCTGTTGGTCATGGGAGTACTGTGTGTCAAGTTTGGTTCAATTCCATCGTTGATGGAGTTCAGAATGCTCTTTGATTGTACGTGAACTATAAATCCCAGCAACTACAACTCCCAAATGACAAAATCATAATTTTTTGAGTGATGGTCACTTCTTGTGTTGTGAGACGTTTTGTTGCCAAATTTGGTGTGCTTTCATTCATTGGTTCTTTTGTTTTTAAGGTACTCATTATGCACAGAGCATTTTTTATACATAGATATAGATAAATATATATGATTCACACACACACACATGTTTATGATGGTTATAGCACCATAGATTTGAAAGGGACCCCTAAAGAAGGACAATTATATGTTGCATGTTCCAGAGTAGGCAAACCAGACAATCTCCACATCAACATTGGCAAAGAAACACCAAGAAATACTGTTTACCCACAAGCATAAAGAAATTACATATATTAGAAACCAACATTTCTCATTACTTTATTTCCCAGATCAACAGACTGGGCCACAGCAATGCGTGGCAGGGGACAGCTAGTAAATAATGTTTTTCTTTGCAGGTGGCAGATTTAAGAGGGAGGCTCCGTGCATATGAGCAAAACAATCCAGATCCTAATTCCTGTGTACCACCTTCTCTCGTTTCTTCTAGTCCTGAACACAAGGATGAATATCTCAGGTGGGTCTGCAGATTCAAAGGAGGTAGGAAAAGGTGTTTTAATTGGGAGGAGCTACAATCTAACAATGTGGCATCTAATGCCTCACTATATACCATCATAAAAATCATAAGCAATATTAGGGCGTGCCCAGGACAAAAGGCAAAGATATGTACAAGACATTACTTTGGTAGGAATCTGGAGTTTCTACCAATCAGGAACTGATGAATTATTAATATCCCTTTCTTATGTTTTTCATAGGTCAAAGGAAGATGCTGTGGGTTCTGAAGTCCAGCTTAAGGGGGATTGTGAGACCAAGGTGATCCTGAAGCCATTGAAACAAAATGCCTCTTGCTTAGGAAGAAGCCACATGGAGCAGATAATAGAAAAAAGGGACTGCGGAGTATTGTCTGGGGCAGGCAATATCTAGCAGTTAGTGGTTTAGAAACCTGTTTGTAGACTAGCCTTCCTCAAGCGAGCACCTCCAGAAGGGTTGTGGTGAAGGTCCCATTCATGGGCCGGGCTTTAGCACAGCAGATTAACTGCCAGCTGCAGTAAATCTTGCCAATTGAAAGGTTGACAGTTCGAAGCCCTGGTTGGGATGAGCTCCTGGCCTTTGACCCAGCTTCTGCCTACTTAGCAGTTCAAAAGCAAAATATGAGTAGATAAATAGATACCACCTTAAAGCGGAGAGGTATTTAAGGCACCCATAAGGAAATGCCAGAAAAATGTCAGCGATTTGATCAAGGAGGAAGTTTACGAGCAAACGCTCTTTAGGCTTGGGCGGTTTTGTTCGTTAATTTCGTAATTCATTATTAATTCGTATTTAAATTAGCTTACGATCCAATATTGAGCCATGCAGGAATAGTGTGAGGAGTAAATTAGATTTGAAACAATTTTTTCAATTTATTTCGTAATTATTTCGTAATTATTTTGTAATTAGTTCGCAATTATTTCGTAATTATTTCGTAATTATTTTCGCATGTCTGGTGCAAGTTTTATAGTTGTTGTTTGTTTTATCACACCAACCGCCAACAACAGAGGGAGAGGGAAGCTTCAGAAGTTCCCCCTGTCCCATTTGGAGGTTTTTTTAGCATATTGCGCAATCGCGTCCGCCATTAACGAATCGATTCGTAATTTTACGAAATTTCGGAAATTTTGAAATTTTTAAAAGGAAAATTTCGGAATTATTAAAAAAAACGAAACGCAAGGGCCCCCTAAAAACAAAACGAGTTTAGAACCAAATTTTTCCGTGGCTACCCAAGCCTAACGCCCTTCATTGTTAGTGCTGCATTCCATGTTGCACTATTCCCCAGATGTAGGTGCCACAGCCAGGTCTTCAGCTTTTTCCTAAATGTAAGGAGGGAAGGGGCCAGTCTAACGTCACTGGGGAGGGAGTTCCATAGCCGAGGGGTCACCACTGAGAAGGACATGACTCTTGTCCCCACTAATTGCGCCTGTGAGGGGGGTGGGATCGAGAGTATGGCCTCCCCAGGTGATCTTAATGCTCTAACTGGTTCAATGGGAGATATACGTTCGGACAGGTAAATTAGACCAGAAACATTTAGGGCTTTATAGGTCAAGGCCAGCATTTTGAATTGTGCTCGGTAGCAGACTGGCAGCTAGTGGAGCTGATGTAGCAGTGGGGTTGCGTGCTCCCTGTACGTCGCTCCGGTGAGCAGCCTGGCTTTCACCCGTTGGACTATTTGAAGCTTCCAAACAGTCTTCAAAGGCAACCTCACGTAGAGTGCGTTGCAGTAATCTATTTAAGATGTGACGCGCGCGTGGACCACCATGGCAGGTGCTTCTAGCAGTATACATGTCAGTCTCAACATCTTTAATGAATAAGTTCAAAAGTTGGGTGAGATTACAAAGGGACTTGCATATTTTAATGTTTTATACTTTAAAACATTTTTGCAAAAAATGTGCAAACCCTTTTTTTAAAAAAAAAACAAAGAAAATTGTTTTCCATCAACAATTGGAGGGTTTGGTGGGAGCTTTTTTGCACAATTTTTGTTTAAATAACCCAAAATTTAAAAGGTTGGGATGTAAAGACACATTAAGGCAACCTTTCCCATTGTAGATGGAAATATTTACAAGTATTTTCCTATTCAGCACTCCTTTTTCTCCAAGAAGCCATGACTTGAATGAGAAAGCTCAGCTTAAGTCACAGGGAAGGAGAATCTGAAACTCTTTTAACCTCTTATCTCTTCAGATAAGAGGTTAAAAGAGGAGCCCCCGGTAGCGCCATGGGTTAAACCCTTGTGTCGGCAGGACTGAAGACTGACAGGTCGGAGGTTTGAATCTGGGGAGAGCGCGGATGAGCTCCCTCTGTCAGCTCCAGCTCCCCATGTGGGAAGATGAGAGAAGCCTTCCACAAGGATGATAAAACATTAAAAAAATCAGGGCGTCCCCTGGGCAACGTCATTGCAGATAGCCAATTTTCTCACACCAGAAGTGACTTGCAATTTCTCAAGTCGCTCCTGACACGAAAAAAAGATGAATTGTAAACGAAGTGTGGCCTCACACTTTCCCAAACCATCTTCCCAAACATCAATTTTTTTATTAAAAAAACCCCCCAAATCTGCTTTTTAAAATCCTAGATACTTAATAAGGAGATTAGGGAGGAGATAGACCCAAAATTGTCAATGCTCTGGATGAAATGATTCCAGTCATTCCAAATTAGTTCCACCAAAACAGCCCACTCTTGCTCTAAATCAAGAGCCAGTAACTCCTTTCATTTCTGCCTTTGGCTGTTTCTATCAGTGGGAGAAATTCTTGCTGCTCTTTGTCATCTCCAAACTCACAGAGAAGCACCTCTGCTTTTTTCTCCCAAGCTCTTGGCAAGAATAATAAAGGCAATACAAGCCCCCCACCACCCCCCAATCATGCTGCCCATTGACAAGAAAGTTTTAATGGGCATCCTTCTTATTGAAGGGCTGTGGCACTTGCCCATCATGAGCTGGCAAATATGCTGAAGGGTGCCTGTCTGACATAAAATGGATGCTCCTTTCTTATTAGTATTTATGGCAGTGATGAGTGCTGCATAATAATAATAATAATAACAACAACAACAACAACAATAATAATAATAAATAATCTTTATTGATATACCACTCCATCTCCCCGAGGGGACTCAGAGCGGTTCCCAGGTAACATCACAAAAACATACAAAGTAAAAACAACATAACCATAAGAAATATAAGCATAAAAATTGTCACCATAACACACATATATTAAAAGTAATCCTGCCTGTTCAAGTCAATTTAAAAATATACAAGGCCAGGCCAAGATTTGTGCAAGCCCAAAAATTCTAGGGGGCCCGGGAATTAAGTGCAATGCTAAGACAGGCAACAATAATATTAGGTACGGGTCTGTGGCTGTTCATTCCAGGGCCGATTAGAGGAAAGAATCTGGGTAACTGGTAGGAAGAATAAGGCTGTATTCGACAATGTGTAGGGCTGAGTTAGAACTGGTCATTTTCAAAGGCTTGTTGAAACCACCAGGTCTTTAAGTTCTTACGAAAGGAGGGGAGGGATGGGGCCTGTCTTATTTCCCTTGGAAGAGCGTTCCAGAAACGGGGGGCCACCACTGAGAACGCCCTCTCTCTCGTCCCCACCAACCGTGCTTGAGACGGTAGTGGGACCAAGAGGAGGGCCTCCCCGGAAGATCTTAGAGCTTGTGCCAGTTCATAGAAGAAGAAGCGATCATGGAGATAGGCAGGGCCCGAACCGTTTAGGGCTTTATAGGTCATGACCTGCACCTTGATTTTGGCTCGGCAACTGTTTTAACAGGGTGTTGTATGCTCCCTATAGTTTGCTCCAGTAAGGAGCCTGGCTGCCGCCAGTTGTACCAGTTCAAACTTCTGGGCCGTCTTCAAGGGCCGCCCCACGTAGAGTGCATTGCAATAGTCCAGTTTGGATGTAACCAAGGTGTGGATGTAACCAATGATGTCACAGCAACTCAACCAATTGTGTGGGCCTTGAAAATGAGTGGTGCCTTTTCGCATCTCCTGTATAATATACATGTATGTGCCATATTTAGATCTTTCTTCAATGTGTATTTCTTGCATAAATTCAGGAACTAGGAAAAAACTTTGGATATTCTTGCGTGGGGTCCTCAAATCCAGATGAACAGCAGGAGAAGCTGAACACTTGGCTGCAGGAAATGGACAAGAAACAGCTGGAGACGTGAGTTGGTGTCTTTCTTTGCAATACGAGGAGAGAGTGACTGGTTTCTTGTTCAGCCTGGGGTTTTATATGCTGTTATGAATATGGAGTACATTGTTAGTTCAATCAATTTTGCAGACATTTCAGCACTTACAAAATATATAGGTTGCTTACCTGTAACCGTAGTTTCCCGAGTGGTCACCTGTGAATTCACACATCTCCACCCATCCTCCCCACATTTAAAAATGTCATGCCTCAGGACTTCTGACTGCTTTTGCGGCAGAAGAACTGGGCAGTAGCCCCGCTATTGGGCTATTTATACTGACGGGGAGAATGGGCGGGGCTACTCTAACAGTCAAAAATAGTCTCGAGAATGTCCGTTGCTGCCTGTGCAAGCACAGGAATATACCAGCTAGGAAAACTGCTTTTTTCTATGGGAATGGATGGAAAGAAGATTCTACCCTGAATTCTATGATCTTTCAAAGATTGTTCTCTCTCCAGTTGAATCTCCATAGTATTTTTTCTCACTCCAGGCTAGCAATTACTATCCTTCACATAGCCCAAAAGCAGTACACTCTTCTGAAAGCTTCCAACCTTCTCACCCCTGATATGAGAGATGAGTTTGAAGAACTGGACGGCTTGGTGCAACAAGGATCTTGCAAAGCCCCTGAAATTTCCATGGAAGAGCAAGTCAGGAAACTAGAGACAGACACCCATGTCAGCCTGGACCAGAACACGGAGCAGATTGTGGATAAAGGTAATCTTTAGGGAGGGAGATATGGAGTGTGTGCACTGAACTAGAAGGGAATTGCATTGTTTTTCTTAGACAGATCCTGCATCTCTTAGGATGCCAGGTTTCATTACTGTTTTGTGGCTTCTTTTCAGCTGTCGTTCCAGCTGCGCTTTCCACGACTGAGCATGCCAACCCAGAAGGGGGTCCTGGAGTTTCCCCTGTCTTTGCGATCCCAAGTCCTTCCTTCAAGGCACCTTCCCACCTAACAAAAAAGAGGAGGAAGTCAACAGAGCCCTCATCACCATCTGAAAGTAGTACTCCATCTGGCCCAAAGGGGCGGGCTAAACGTCGACGGAAGGCTGGCCCTTCTCCCCAGCATGTGGACACCTTGAAAGAATGGGCTGCTCTTATGCCCATGGAGTCCACCAGCACCCCCATTGTGGGGAAATCAAAGTCCCGAAGGCCAACGCATTGCCTTTCCTCGCAACCCTGTTCTTTGACTGAGACGAAGAGACGAGTGCCTTTGGGCACTTCAGCAGTCCAGAATTGCACTACTCCAATGCCCCCACCATGCCTGAACACCACTTTTGACCTTGGAGAGGATCCCTGTTCTTCAAATGCAAAGTCCAGTGCTCCTGCATGCCCTGCCTGGGAAAACATTCCACATTTCTCTCACCCCAAGGGGGCACCGCTCATACCCAGGTGGGTAACAGGGAGTTGTGGCAAACGTATCCTTGCAGGGTGCATTAGGCTCCATTACACTTTGTGTTCCTATTATTATTATTATTATTATTATTAGTAGTAGTAGTAGTAGTAGTAGTAGTAGTAGTAGTATTATTTTACTGACACAAAAGCACAGTATGTCACAGCAAACGAGATCTATATGCTGGATTTCGTATCACAAAATCACAAGACGAACACTTCCCAAGTGTCCAGGACTGTGTGATGTATTTTCGAATGATGCGTGCAGATCCAAGTAAGGTGGTCTTTTGCAGTTGACAGATCGTGATTTTGTCAATGTTTATTGTTTCCAAATGCCGGCTGAGATCTTTTGGCACAGCACCCAGTGTGCTGATGACCACTGGGACCACCTGTACTAGTTTATGCGAGAGCCTTTGCAGTTCAATTTTGAGGTCCTGATAACGGCCGAATTTTTCCTCTTGTTTTTCTTCAATGCGGCTGTCACCTGGTATGGCGACATCAATAATCCAGACTTTTTTCTTTTCCACAGTCGTGGTGTATTGTGTTCCAAAACTTTGTCAATCTGGATTCGAAAGTCCCACAGCATTTTTCCATGTTCATTTTCCACAACCTTTGCGGGTTTATGATCCTACCAATTCTTTATTGCTGGCAGGTGGTACTTGTGACATAAGTTCCAGTGAATCATTTGGGCCACAGAGTTGTCCCTTTGTTTGTAGTCCGTCTGTGCGATTTTCTTGCAACAACTGAGGATATGATCCATGGTTTCATCAGCTTCCTTGCACAGTTTGCATTTTGGGACATCAAAATAATAATAATAATAATAATAATAATAATTATTATTATTATTATTATTATTATTATTATTATTATTATTTATATCCTGCTACCATCTCCCCGAAGCCCCTGGTGGCACAGTGGGTTAAATCGCTGAGCTGCTAAACTTGTTGACCGAAAGGTCACAGGTTCGAATCCAGGGAGCGCTGTCAGCAGTTCGAAAACATGCAAATGTGAGTAGATCAATAGATACCGCTCCAGCGGGAAGGTAACGGCACATGGCCTTGGAGGTGTTCACGGACAATGCTGGCTCTTCGGCTTAGAAATGGAAATGAGCACCAACCCCCAGAGTCGGACATGGCTGGACTTAATGTCAGGAGAAAACCTCCACCTTACCTACCATCTTCCCAGAGGGACTCGGGGCAGCTTACAGACAGCACACAAAAGTCCCATAAACTACATAAAATATAGACAACATACAACAACAACTGCAAAAAAATCGTATCAAATTAACATAAAATAACATTCACAAAAGATCGATTACAAGAGATAAAAACCCAACTCATTTTAAAATAAAAATACCCTATAAAAAGTAATGAACAGTGCTGGTTAGAGAATGTCCTGGGACGATGATGTAAAGAAATATTACAGTAAGATGTGGAAAAGAGTGGCATGCACATACTGCTTACATTAGTACTGGGAAGGGTTAAGTGGGACTGTGGTCTTGTTCAGTTGCTACAGCAAAGATGAGCTACCTTTGGGCCCTTTTGCTTTGTACATGGTGGTGGGTCAGCAGTCATGGTGAAACCAGGCCTTTATCTGATGAGGGCACACAGCCAAAACTACCTCACCATGGTCTTGCATTTACCATCTCTTATGGGTCTATTTCAGAGCCTCCATGCCAGTATTCACCATGAAAGGGTCTTCCATCCCTCGGCCATCATCCTTGACTTCCAAAGCGTCAACTCAGAAGAGGAGGCACACCACAACGTAAGATTGCCTTTGGCTTCAAAAGTCAGTTAACAGAGTCCTCATTAGTCAGAGACTCTTGACATGTGCCACAAAAACTAGACTGCCCCACTTCAGACTACTAGTGGAGATGTTGAAACTTCTTACTGGGCCAAAACAACTTCCATAAGTTAAAAAAAACGTGAGGGGACAAAACGGTTTTTCTTGATGTTCTAATGTTTGTTTGTTTTACCTACAGGGATGTAAAAAAACCAAACACAAATGTATGTATGTATGTATGTATGTATGTATGTATGTATGTATGTATGTATTTCCTATATTTTTTCTTAAATGAGACTCAGAGTTTCTCACAACACTAAAAACAATACAAATTTCAATTTAAAGCTAGAAAAAAAAATCCAGGGATCATTCAGAAGGAGCAGTCTCCTCATTATGGCCTGAAATGGCATAGTATACTCTAATCCTTCATTATGTTACACATACTTTTGAGTCATTAGCAGGAGGGATTTACATTAATTAAATAATAATTAAAGTATTCTTATTATACTGACTAGCTATCCCCTGCCACGCATTGCTGTGGCCCACTCTGTGTATATGTTTTTGTGTGTATATATTTGTGTATATGTGTATATATGTGGTTTTGAGCATGCGTTGTAATGTATTTTTTTGTTTTGAGGCTTTTTAAGTCTCTTCTGCTGTGTTTTTCAGTGTTGTTATGAGTGATGGTCATTCGTTGGTCTGGTAGGTGTATTGTGTCCAAATTTGGTGTCAGTACGTCCAGTGGTTTTTGAGTTGTGTTAATCCCACAAACGAACATTACTTTTATTTATATAGATTATTATATTATATAATCATCACACAATCCCAGCTTAACTGTTTAAAATCTTAAAAGATGATGCTGTCACGGTGATGCATGCCATTTGCCAGCAAATATGGAAAACACAAGAATGGCCATCAGACTGGAAAAAATCAACTTATATCCCCATACCAAAAAAGGGAAATGCGAAAGACTGCTCAAACTTCCGTACAGTGGCCCTTATTTCTCATGCCAGTAAGGTAATGCTCAAGATCCTGCAAGGAAGACTCCAGCAATACATGGAGCGAGAGCTGCCAGATGTTCAAGCTGGGTTTAGAAAAGGTAGAGGAACGAGAGACCAAATTGCCAATATCCGCTGGATAATGGAGAAAGGCAGGGAGTTTCAGAAAAACATCTACTTCTGCTTCATTGACTATTCTAAAGCTTTTGACTGTGTGGATCATAATAAATTGTGGCAAGTTCTTAGTGGGATGGGCATCCCAAGCCACCTTGTCTCTCTCCTGAGGAATCTGTACAAGGACCAAGTAGCAACAGTCAGAACTGACCACGGAACAACAGACTGGTTCAAGATTGGGAAAGGCGTCCGGCAAGGCTGCATCCTCCCACCCAACCTTTTTAACTTGTATGCAGAACACATCATGCGAGGATGTGCGGGGCTGGATGAATGCAAAGCTGGGGTGAAAATTGCTGGAAGAAACATTAACAACCTCAGATATGCAGATGACACCACTCTGATGGCCGAAAGCGAGGAGGAGCTGAGGAGCCTTCTAATCAAGGTGAAAGAAGAAAGCGCAAAAGCCGGGTTGCAGCTAAACATCAAAAAAACCAAGATTATGGCAACAAGAATGATTGACAACTGGAAAATAGAGGGAGAAAACGTGGAGGCCGTGACAGACTTTGTATTTCTAGGTGCAAAGATTACTGCAGATGCAGACTGTAGCCAGGAAATCAGAAGATGCTTACTTCTTGGGAGGAGAGCAATGTCCAATCTCGATAAAATAGTAAAGAGTAGAGACATCACACTGGCAACAAAGATCCGCCTAGTCAAAGCCATGGTATTCCCTGTAGTAACCTACGGATGTGAGAGCTGGACCTTAGGGAAGGCTGCGCGAAGGAAGATAGATGCTTTTGAGCTGTGGTGTTGGAGGAAAGTTCTGAGAGTGCCTTGGACTGCGAGAAGATCCAACCAGTCCATCCTCCAGGAAATAAAGCCCGACTGCTCACTGGAGGGAAGGATACTAGAGACAAAGTTGAAGTACTTTGGCCACATCATGAGGAGACAGGAAAGCTTAGAGAAGACAATGATGCTGGGGAAAATGGAAGGAAAAAGGAAGACGGGCTGACCAAGGGCAAGATGGATGGATGGCATCCTTGAAGTGACTGGATTGACCTTGAAGGAGCTGGGGGTGGTGACGGCCAACAGGGAGCTCTGGCGTGGGCTGGTCCATGAGGTCACGAAGAGTCGGAGACGACTGAACGAATGAACAACAACATTATCAAAGGTTTTCATGGCCGGCAAACCATTATTATTATTATTATTATTATTATTATTATTATTATTATTATACCTTGCTTTTCTCTCTTCATTGATATATTATCTATATAAATAAAATGTTATTATTTATATAAATAAAAATGTAATGTTAGTTTGTGGGATTAACATAACTCAAAAACTACTGGATGAATTGACACCAAATTTGGACACAATACACGTCTCAGGCCAACAAGTGACAATCACACATAAAAACACTGAAAGACACAGCAGAAGAGACTTAAAAAACAAAAATTAAATTACAACACATGCGCATATATATAGATATATTATATACAATATAATTATATATAGCAATAATAACATTGTAATGGAATAGTGCTATTATATTATATATAATATTAATAATGTTGTGATATAATATATTGTATATTGTATATACTACAACTCAAGATATAGTACAATATATTATATATTACTAATAATATAATATGCAGGTAGTGCATTACATATATTGTTTTATAATAATATAGTTTGTGGACTGAGTATTGTTTTAATGACATGATAATTTGGTTATAATTAACTGCTATTGTTTTAACTCTGTATGTATTTATGGTTTTATACTATGTTATTGATTGTGGCATCAAATTTATCTATTTTCAAAGTCTCTAGAATGGTCCATGGCAACAAGCATTCCAAAGTGGCGTTCATTGTGCAAATATATGCAAAAATGCTATACTTGTTCTATTCCAACAAACAGGATGAGCCCCACCACAAAGTTGAGGGAAACAGCTGTCTTGGTCAATGGAGTTTTGGTTTCATGGAAGAGTAGCAATTTTTTACTGAACTAATTCGTTACTGATGTGTATTTCCTGCTGAGGAAAAAGACTTATAACATTTTATTTATTTGCGACATTTATATGCTGCCCTTCTCACCCCGAAGGGGATTCAGAGCAGCTTGCAAGATATATATACATACAATATATTATATTATTAACATAGCACAACATCAGCACCATATATTACTATATTGTACTACACAATTATATTGTAATATTATTAGTAATATTACATGTAATATAAAATATATAATTATAATATTGTATTATTATATTGTATTACATTATAATATTATAAATATTATATGTGTATACAATATATTATATTATTGTTGTTGTTCATTCGTTCAGTCGTTTCCGACTCTTCATGACCTCATGGACCAGCCCACGCCAGAGCTCCCTGTCGGCCGTCATCACCCCAAGCTCCTTCAAGGTCAATCCAGTCACTTCAAGGATCCCATCCATCCATCTTGCCCTCTTCCTTTTTCCTTCCATTTTCCCCAGCATCATTGTCTTCTCTAAGCTTTCCTTTCTTCTCATGAAGTACTTCATCTTTGCCTCTAATATCCTTCCCTCCAGTGAGCAGTCGGTCTTTATTATTATTATTATTATTATTATTATTATTATTATTATTATTAAATTTTATTTGTACCCCGCTACCATCTCCCCAAGGGACTTGGTGTGGCTTACATGAGGCCAAGCCCACAATACAACAATAAAACAATAGCAAAATAATACAACAATAAATAAAGCTCATAAACAGAAAATAGCAATAAACATTAACAATAACACAGCGACATTTAAAAACCTATGGCAGGGCCAAATGTACTAATTAAAATTTTAAAAAAATAATGCTGGGCGTGACCAGGTGACATATAAATAGGATAGACATTTTGGAGAAGGATAGAGCATGCAGACAATCCTAGATCACTACTAAAGTGCGTTTAGGGACATATTGCTGGGAGTTTCCTTATTCTGGGAAGGCATACTGGAACAACCACATTTTCAGGCTCCTCCTAAAGACTGCCAACATTGGAACATGTCTGATGTCCCTGGGGAGTGAGTTCCAGAGTCGAGGGGCCACCACCAAGAAGGCCCTGTCCCTCGTCCCTGCCAATCGCGCTTGCGATAGAGGCGGGATCGCAAGCAGAGCCTCTCCAGATGATCGAAGAGATCGCGTGGGTTCGTACAGTGATGTAGTCGCGCAGATAGACGGGTCCCAAACCGTTTAAGGCTTTTATTTCCCAAAGTATGGACTGGTTCAGGATCTTCTTGCAGTCCAAGGCACTCTCAGAACTTTCCTCCAACACCACAGTTCAAAAGCATCTATCTTCTTTCGCTCAGCCTTCCCTATGGTCCAGCTCTCACATCCGTAGGTGACTATGGGGAATACCATTGCTTTAACTATTATATTATTAGTCTAGCACAGGAGACAAGGTGGAACTGCCTTCCTGGCCCCCTCTCTGTTCACTCGCCCAGAGCAACAGTTGATTTTCTGCTTCAGGTGTTCAAAAAACTTGACTGCCCCAGGTTACTCTGCATGTTAACTAGGATAGGAAGAATGACTCTTTATTGCTCTGCCTCAGATAGCAAAATTTCTCAGCTGGTGCTACTGATAAATATACATTTCTTGATTGTGGATTGTACTGTGGTGAGGACTTATTTCTTATTTTCCTCTCTGTTTCTTTATTTCTCTTTTCAGCTCTGCCTCCCAGTCTCTGGGTGCACCACGCAGCCGCATTGCCCGCCCAAGAGGCACTTCCATGAAGTCTTCTCAGGTTGGGAGTGCATCAGGTAATTAGGCTTCAGTCCTTTTCAGGTTGCAGAGGTCTTCAGATTTCTTAATTTATTTATAAGACAGAATAAAGACCCACAAATATTTGTTGAAAAAAATAGTTACAAAACTGGATTGTTGTAGGCCATGTTCTAGAGGCATTTTCTCCTGACGTTTCGCCTGCATCTATGGCAAGCATCCTCAGAGGTAGTGAGGTCTGTTGGAAGTAGGAAAATGGGTTTATATATCTGTGGAATGACCAAGGTGGGACAAAGGACTTTTGTCTGCTGGAGCTATGTGTGAATGTTTCAACTGACCACCTTGATTAGCATTTAATGGCTTGGAATCACTCTCAACAAAAGATTCCCCCCAGGCACTTCCAAGCCATTAAATGCTAATCAAGGTGGTCAGTTGAAACATTCACACCTAGCTCCAACAGACAAAAGTCCTTTGTCATAGACCTGTTCTTCCAAGCAGCCCAGTTTCCTTCAAAAATTACCTTCCTTACAGTTTTTTTGTCACTTTAGAATAGAGGTAGGCAATTAGGTATTGCTGGACTGCAATTCCCACTAGCAATTACCCAGTCTAACCAGTGGTGAAGGCACCGGGACTTTGGCGCAGCTGGCTGGGAGTCAGCTGCATTAAGATCACCACTGACCAAAAGGTCATGAGTTCGAAGCCAGCCCGGGTCGGAGTGAGCTTCCGACCAATTTGTGTAGCTTGCCGTTGACCTTTACAGCCCGAAAGACAGTTGCATCTGTCAAGTAGGAAATTTAGGTACCACTTAGGCAGAGAGGCTAATTTAACTAATTTCCAAGGCCATAAAAATATCCAGCAAGCATGCAAAGAATGAGGAAGTACTTCATCAGTGTCACAATTGGACTGTGAAGCAACAGCTCCACTGGTGGCTAGATTACCCTCATGAAAAGCTGAAATGTTAAATAGCCTCTGAGTGTCTGTCTATATACCATATATACTCTGTCTATATACCATATATACATATATAAACTGACCCGAATATAAGCCAAGGCACCTAATTTTATCATAAAAAACTGGGAAAATTGATTGACTCGAGTATAAGCCGAGGGTGGGAAATGCAGCAGCTATTGGTAAATTTCAAAATAAAAATAGATACAAATAAAATTACATTAATTGAGGCATCAAGAGGTTAAATGTTTTTGAATATTTAAGATAAGACTGCCCAACTCTGATTAAATCATTCTGACCTTCTTCAATGTAAATGTGCTTGTGTATCCTTCCAATAAAAATAAATAGATTAAAATAATAAAGGTAATAATATAATATAATATAAAATTATAATATAATATAAGAATATAAAATAAAATATATAAAATATAATAATATAATAATATAATATAATATAATAAAGGTAATAATAATAATAAATACATTTAAAATAATAAAGGTAATAATAATATAATATAAAATAATAATATAATATAAAATATAATAAAATATATAAATATATAAAATATAATAATATAATATAAAATAAAATAAAATAATAAAGGTAATAATAATAATAATGGAAATGTAATATTAACAATAATAATAAATAGAGTAAAATAATAAATGCAATAATAACCACAATAAAGTAAAATAATAAATGTAATAATAATAATACATTTATTATGTATTTATAACACATAATAATACATAACCTTGACTCGAGTATAAGCCAAGGGGGACTTTTTCAGCCTAAAAAATAGGTCTGAAAAACTAGGCTTATACTCGAGTATATACAGTATGTAGTGTGTCTATGGCATTGAATGTTTGCCATGTATATGTACATTGTAATCTGCCCTGAGAAGGGTGGAATATAAATACTGTAAATAAATAAATAAAATAAATAATGGTGGTTGCAGTGTTGCAAAATCTGAGAAGCTGCCAGTTATCAACCTGTGCCATCAAGCTGGTGCTTGTGCGGGAAGCCACCTCATGTTATCAGTTATAGCAGGAAAAAAGAGAAATCCAGAATGCTTTCGGTATCTTGGATCAACTCACTTTGCTCGACATTTCTCAATTTAATCTATATTCTTCCAACAGGACAACCTCCTGCATGGAAATGGCGCTAGAAAGGCACTGCATCTCTTGGAGAATCGGGCCACTTATCTCTGGATGTGTCTCGTGTTGAAAATATTGTAAATCTGTTTTCTCCTAAAACATTGCCCAGCACTATTGGGGACCCTCAAATCCTCTTTCTCTATGCATATATATTTTGAATAACATTAATTACCTCACTTTACTCTTGTATAAGCATATCTCGCGTACGTAGAATTTGCGAACAACATATATTTTTAAATAAACAAGAGAATAAAAACAGAAACAACACATCTTGGGTTTTGGACTTTGTGCTGGATTGTGTTTGTGGCTAGAGTTTACTGAGTCTATGTGATGAAGGGGTCCTCAAAACTTGAAAAAGACATATGTTTTCAACCTCTTGAGTGACTTACCACGTGGAAGGATCAAGTAGCTTCTTGTATTCTTCTCCTGGCCATAGCTTTCTTGCATTAAGAAAAAAAGTATCAGAAGAGAAAAGATATGTTGAAATGTACTGTATATACTCGAGTATAAGCCTAGTTTTTCAGCCCCTTTTTTAGGCTGAAAAAGCCCCCCTCGACTTATACTCGAGTCAAGGTTATTTATTATTTTACTCTGTTATTAGTATTATTTATTATTTAATCTTTTTCTCTATTTGTTATTATTATTACATTTACATTATTTTACTCTATTATTATCATTATTACATGTATTATTTTACTCTATTTATTATTATTATTACATTTATTTTTCTCTATTATCGTTTTATTACATTTTATTGTACTCTATTATTATTACATGTATTATTTTACTCTATTATTATTTTTATGACATTTATTATTTTACTCTCTTTATTATTATTGGAAGGATACACAAGCACATTTACGCTGAAGAAGTTTAGAATAATGGTTTAATCAGAGTTCGACATAAATTATAGTTTTATGTAAAAATTCAAAAACATTTCACCTCCTGATGCCTCAATTAATTTAATTTCATTGGTACCTATTTTTTATTTTGAAATTGGCCCATAGATGCTGCATTTCCTACCCTCGGCTTATACTCAAGTTAATACGATTTCCCAGTTTTTTGTGCTAAAATTAGGCACCTCGGCTTATATTCGGGTCGGCTTATACTCGAGTATATACGGTAATCTGTCTGACTTGGCCTGTTCAGATTTGGGCCTGAATTCTATTGTTAATTCCCAAAATAATAGACCCATTGAAACAAGGGGGGCTTTGTAAGTCATCACTCCCGTAAGTTTTATTAATTCACTGGGTTGAACTACCAACAAGACGCAAGCCACAGTATCTTCAGAAGCTTGTCCAATTCTGGGCACCACAATTGAAGGGAGATGTTGAATGTGTCCAGAGGAAGGGCGTCTAAAATGATCAAGGGTCTGGAGAACAAGCCCTATGAGGAGCGGCTTAAAGAGCTGGGCATGTTTAGCCTGGAGAGGAGAAGGCTGAGAGGACACATGATGGCCATGTATACATATGTGAGGGGAAGTCATAGGGAGGAGGGAGCAAGCTTATTTTCTGCTGCCCTGGAGATTTGGACACGGAACAATGGGTTCAAACTACAGGAAATGAGATTCCACCTGAACATTAGGACGAACTTCCTGACTGTAAGATCTGCTTTCTGCCCTGGAGTGTGGTGGAGGCTCCTTCTTTGGAGGATTTAGGCAGAGGCTGGATGGCCATCTGTCTGGAGTGCTTTGAATGCGATTATCCTGCTTCTTGGCAGAATGCAGTTGGACTGGATGGTCCACGAGGTGCTTCCAATTCTTTGATTCTATGATTCTAAGATAGAAAATTATCATTTTATTTTACAAAAAGAGTAAATATTTAAAACAATGTGCATGTTGCTATGCCTCATCATTGCCAAATTAGGAAGACTGTGGATATCTACTAAACTCTGGTGACACCTTAGGCCTCTTCTACACTGCCACATAATCCACATTATCAAATCAGATAATCCGAATTATCTGCTTTGAACTGGATTATATGAGTTTACACTGTCATATAATCCCATTCAAAGCAGATAATCTGGATTTTATATGGCAGTGAAGAAGGGCCTGAGACTACTAACAATTGAAGAGAGAGATTGACAAGCTGGAATGTGTCCACAGAAGGGCGACTAAAATGATCAAGAGTCTGGAGAACAAGCCCTATGAGAAGAGGCTTAAAGACTACTGGGCACCACAAGCTGGAATGTGTCCAGAGAAGGGTGACTAAAATGATCAAGGGTCTGGAGAACAAGCCCTATGAGAAGCGGCTTAAGGAGCTGGGCATGTTTAGCCTGAAGAAGAGAAGGCCGAGAGGAGATATAATAGCCATGTATAAATATGTGAGAGGAAGCCACAGGGAGGAGGGAGCAAGCTTGTTCTCTGCTTCCCTGGAGACTAGGATGCGGAACAATGGCTTCAAACTACAAGAGAGGAGATTCCATCTGAACATGAGGAAGAATTTTCTGACTGTGAGAGCCATTCAACAGTGGAACTCTCTGCCCCGGAGTGTGGTGGAGGCTCCTTCTTTGGAAGCTTTTAAACAGAGGCTGGATGGCCATCTGTCAGGGGTGATTTGAATGCAATATTCCTGCTTCTTGGCAGGGGGTTGGACTGGATGGCCCATGAGGTCTCTTCCAACTCTTTGATTCTATGATTCTATACTATATGACGAAAACTCAGATTTAGTGTCCTGAATACAGAACCACAGTATTGTGTCCTGAAGGCTACTCTACAAACACGAACTATAATCTTTTCTACTCTAGAAATCTTAAGCACAACTATCAGTTGGCTGGCTTCACTGCAAAAGCTAAACCTGAGTGTGTTTGTGATATTAATGATGATGATGATGATGATGATGATGATGATGATGATGATGCAAAAGACAAAGAGTGAATACTATTAAAAAAAAAACAATCCAGAGCAGAAGAGAATATTGGCGAAAGAAGATTCTCCATTGACAATTCCTGGGAAAAATTGAGAGCCAAATTGACAAAGAAAAAATATGGCTGTGGCTCACAAATGGAACTCTGAAAAAGGAGACAAAGGAGGGCCTGATTCTGGCAGCCCAAGAACAAGCCATTAGAACCAATGCCATCAAAGCCAAAATTGAAAAGTGGACGACAGATCCCAAGTGTAGACTCTGCAAGGAAGCAGATGAAACAATAGATCACATCCTCAGCTGCTGCAAGAAGACAGACAGACTACAAGCAGAGGCACAACACCGTTGCTCAGATGATCCATTGGAACTTGTGCCAGAAATACCATCTGTCTGCAACAAAGAACTGGTGGGATCACAAGCCGAAAAAAGAGAGAATGAACACGTCAAGCTACTCTGGGACTTCCGAATTCAGCCAGACAGAGTTTTGGAGCACAATACTCCTGACCCCATGATCGTGTTAAAAAACAAAGTGTGGATTGTCGCTGTTGCAATCCCAGGTGACAGCAGGATTGAAGAGAAACAACTGGAAAAGCTGACACAATATGAGGATTTAAAGATTGAACTGCAAAGACTCTGGCACAAGCCAGTCAAGGTGGCCCCAGTAGTGATCGGCACACTGGGTACAGTGCCTAAAGACCTTGGCCTGTACTTAAACACAATCGGCGCTGACAAGATTACCATCTTCCAGCTGCAGAAGGCCACCTTACTAGGATCTGCACGCATTATTCGTTGATACATCACACAGTCCTAGACACTTGGGAAATGTCCAACGTGTGATCCAATACAACAGCTAGCAGAGTGATCTTGTCTGCTGTGGACCCATCTTGTTGTGTTTCAAATAATCATCATCATCATCATCATCATCATCTTTATTTATATCCTGCTTTTCTCCCTGACGGGACCCAAAGCAGCTTACAACATATTAAAATCCTATAAACAACAATCCAAATACATCGATGATAATTATAAAACATCATAAAATAAACAGTTTATAACCACTATAATATATATTCACATGTAGAGGAGGAAGGGGACATGTAGTGTCAATGTAGAGTCAAGACTGCCACCTGCAGTTCACTTATGGCTTGCAGAGACACACAGCTCCTCACATCTTTCTTTTCTTGCACCCCACCTCGGAAGTAAATTGGGATATAAGTGAAATAACTATATTTCTATTACAAAAAAAGCTTGACGGATGGGTGGCAGTTTTATAAGGAAAGTTTGACATAATCTTTAACATCTACGAAACAAGCACTGTGAAAGTTATTTTCTTAAACTAAAAGTCCTAGAATCCCAATAAAAGTAGCTTTTCTCAGCTTGTTCTCAGAAGTGAGTCCAATTGTGTTTAGCAAGATTGACTCTGTATTGTAGGAGGCTTTCATGGCCAGAATCAACGGGTTGTTGTAGGTTTTTCATGCTGTATGGCCATGTTCTAGAAGCATTCTCTCCTGACATTTTGCCTGCATCTGTGCCAGGCATCCTCAGAGGTTGTGAGGTTATAGATGCAGGTGAAACGTCAGGAGAGAATGCTTCTAGAACATGACCATACAGCCCGAAAAACCTACAAGATTGACTCTAGTGCAGGAATGGGTAAAGTGTAGCCCTGGGAATAGTGTAAACCCCGACAATTTTTGTGACTAACAAGGTCCCATTGAATATCAAATAATGTTTACTCCCAGATATTTTGGGGTAGTTGCCGTGTCACACTGGAGAAGCCCACCCTTTTAAAACAAGTACATAAATGGCTTTTACTCACTGTAAAAAAAGCAATCTGTTTCCTAGAGAGTGGGCCTCCCAAAACGGGGGGGGGGGGGGGGGGGGGGGGGGTGAAGGGTGAGGAAGAACTTCCTGACTGTGAGAGCCGTTCAGCAGTGGAACTCTCTGCCCTGGAGTGTGGTGGAGGCTCCTTCTTTGGAAGCTTTTAAACAGAGGCTGGATGGCCATCTGTCAGGGGTGATTTGAATGCAATATTCCTGCTTCTTGGCAGGGGGTTGGACTGGATGGCCCATGAGGTCTCTTCCAACTCTTTGATTCTATGATTCTATGACCCTCCAAGGTCTGTTGGGGGGGGGGGGGTAATATGTCCCCTAGCTTTCCACAGTTGCCCACCCATTGCTTAGTGAGTATGTTTCACACTGCAGACATGTTAATTAATTACAAGTCTTGCTGGAATTAAGTAAAATGAGATATGAGCTGAGTGATGGCATGAGTGACACTCTGGCTACCCTGTCACTATGACATGGTTACCACCAGCAATCACTCTGTTCACGTCGCATTAAATTCCATGTGTATCCATGCCAGTCTTCAGCCTAAACTTTAAGTGAGCAGAACCATATTCATAAAATA